GTCTAGTCAACACAGGTAAGGTTTATTGCCACATTTATATTTCAACAAGAATTCCTCCTGATGCTTTGAAGGATGCATCTGGCTCTATCCAGAAACATTTGTTGATGTCTGGTTGCACCAGAAGTAGTTGTCAACTGAAGCATTCAGTTAGTTGGGCAAGAGTGGTGTTGTGTGGCTCTTTCTATTCCCACTTTGTTTCTTTGACTTGCAGATCAAACAAGGGTGTTGCAATCTTTGAATATCCTGGGATGAATCATTGATTAAAATTGGAAAATCCTAGAAATTGTTGAAGGCTTTTGACATTGGTGATATTGTTCCACTTGAGTATGGCTGATACCTTATTCTCTGCCATTCTAATGCATCCAGGTGTAAGGATGAAACTCAAAAATTTGACTTCTGGAACATCAAATATGTACTTTTCCAGCTTGAGGTACAAATCATTGTCTTTTATTCTTTGCAATACTTGCTGTGTTCTGTAGTAGTGTTCTTCTGGGTTGGTGGAGAAGATGAGGATGTTGTCAATATAGATCACTGGCCATCCTTCCATCAGAATATTAGCAAATATTCTGTCTATCATTGCCTGGAAGGTAGCAGGCAAGTTGGTCATTCCAAAAAAAACATGACAATGGGCTCAAATAATCCTTGAGGGGTAATAAAAGCTCCCTTCCATTTGTTGCCAGCCTTAATCCTGACATTGTTGTATCCTGCCCTTAGATCTAATTTAGTAAACAATGTTGGTTTTACAGCAGCAATTCTATCAAGAAGATCTGTCTATATGTGGAATAGGGTATGTGTTTTTAATTGTAGCATTGTTGAGTTCTTGATAATCTTGACAGGGCCTAAGATCTTCTGATTTCTTGTCTATAAAGAAGAAGGGTGAGGCCATGGGCAATTTTGATAGACAAATATACTCCTTTCATAGGTTTCCCTCAAGAAACTTGTTGAGTTCTCTGAGCTTGAGGGGTGATAGTGGGTAAACTTTCCCTCTCTTCTGTTTGAATCCTGAATTCATTTCAATAGCATGGCCCCAAGGTTTCCTTTGTGGCAAGCATTCTGCAACCTTACTACTGAAGACACTAGCAAAGATTGAGAGATACCTGAGAATATTACTGGAAAGTGTCTGGATTGCTTGGATTAATTGTGCCCACTGAAATCTGATTGTACCAGTGATCCAGTTAATCTGAGGATTTTACTTTCACAACCAAGTAATGCCTAGGATGAGTGTTAAAGCTTCGAGGGGGGATTTTCTTTTCTTCCTTACTATTTGTTGTTGACCCTGTACTATTACAACTGATTCCATCACCTGGCATGTTTTACCTACATCATTGTTTCATATATATTGCATTTCACCTTTATCATGTTCCATCTACATCACATCTCACTTATATCACATTTCACTTATATTGCATTTCACCTATATCATGTTTCATCTTCATCACTGATACAACCCAGTGAAACCATTTCATACATATCACTGATTCAACTCAGTGTTTTATACTTATTAAACTCTATCTCTCTTACTCTATTTAAGGAGTACTACC